TGGGCTTTTCTCGAAAGCCAGGGAAAAGAGCCCCGAGTCGAGGTTATACATATAGTGAAATTTACCTCGCTCTCGCTCTTTTACGTCGTCTTTCCCTTTCTTAATGAGATTTTCGGGCTCAGCAAGAAACGAATCGTTTGGCCTAAAAATAATAAGTTGTCTGTAAGTTGTTTCTTCTTTGCACCTAAGAAATCGACTTGTGAATGTCTTTGAACAGCCTGAGAATGACTTCTCCCGCACTTAGAACAAATCGCTGTTGACAAACATGTGTACAACAGAACCTCGATTTAAGAAGTGCTAGGGCACTGGGGAAAGTTGTTTATCGACGACTTACATTTATCGAAATTTCGGGAAAACTACCAAAATGTTGGAGGCTCGCTACAGAGTTGGAGCTGGAGAGGCCTTACTTTGATTCGTAGAATACTGATCATCAAAGCATTTGCTATTCCAGAAATGTAATTACGTATCAGCCTAATTGATATCAATAAAGACTCTATAAAAGAGTTGTGTGACAGTATTTTGCAAATTGGCCATCTTTTGGGTCGCAATGAGGTTAAGTGAGAATTTCATCGTAAAAGCCTTAAAAAGTCGCTCTGATGAGAAGCACTGTCAGACTAGCTGAAAACTATGATTTTGAGACATCTGACATTTTTCAAATTGGAAATCTTTTGAGTAGTAATTGAGTTAAGTGATAAATTTAATGGAAGGGCTTTAAAATATCGCTCTCGTGATGCGCACAGAAAGACTACCTAGAAATAATGATTCAGAGGCAAGTGATAGTATTTTGTAAACTGGCCACCTTTTTAGCCATAATAGAGTTAATTGAGGAGTTTACCGTAAGGGCTTCAAACTGTCGCTCTGATGATATGCACCATACGATTAGCTGAAAACGATGATTTAGAGACGTGTGACAGTATTTTGCAAATTGGTTATCTTTTTGGTCGTAATGGGATTAAGTGAGGATTTTACTGTAAGAACTCGGAAATGCTTCTCTAACGTTTAGCACTGTGAGACTAGATGAAAACGATGATTTGGAAGCGTCTGACAGTATCTTGCAAATTAGCCATCTTTTCAGTTTTAATGTGGTTAAGTGAATATTTCTCATTAAGAACGCAGAAACGTGGCCATAATGATAAGCACTGTGAGAATAGCTAAAAACGGTGATTGGAGGCGTCTGACAGTGATTTGAAAACTGGCTATCTCTTGGGTCGTAGTGGAGTTAAGTGAGCATTTCACCGTAAGAGCTCCAAAATGACGCTCTGATGATAAGCTCAGTAAGGCCAGCGGTAAGCGATGATTTTTAGACGTCTCACAGCAGTTTTGCAAAGTGGTCAGCTTTTTAGTCCAGATGGGGTTAGGTGAGAGTTTCACCGTAAAAGCTCCACAATGTCGCTCTGATGATAAGCAGAGTGAGACTAACTAAATACGATGATTCAAAGACGTGCGACTTTATTTTGAAAATTTGTGCATCTTTCGAGTCGTTGTGGGGTTAAGTGAGAATTTCACCGTAAGAGCTGCGAAATCTCGCTTTGATGGTAAACAGACTAAGACTAACAATTAGAAATATATAACGCGCCTTTTCCATCCAAATATAATTGAAAGCGCGTAACAAAAGGTACAGGTTAAAAGAAAAAGAAAGAAAAACTAAAATAAGCATATTAATTAAGGCTAAAAGTAAACAACGCTAATAAAGATAAAAACACTAAATATATTACATAGTAGGTTAAAAACATTACATATCAAAGCTAGTCTAAAATGATGCGTTTTAAGGAAAGATTTGAAACGTTCAAAACTGTTCTCAAGACGGATGTGAAGGGGCAGATTGTTCCATAAATTAGGGGCAGCACATGACAAAGCAAGATCTTCTAAAGTCTTTTTCAGACCCCTAGCTGAACCGAGATTATATCACGGCTGTTCTTTAATAGTAATCAAATCGATCAGGTAACGAGGCGAATGACCGTAGATAGCTTTAAAAGTAACAAGAAGTATTTTTAAATCAGTACGAAAATTGACAGAAAGCCAATGTAACGAACTTAGTACTAGTGCTTTTTGACTGTAGCGAGGAACATTAGATATAAGCCGAGGAGCTGCATTCTGCAAGCGTTGCAGTTTACGTCGATGAACAGAGGGTAAACCAAATAAAAGGCCTTTGCAGTAATCTATACGACCAATGATAAAATCCTGGACCAAAATGCGTGTACATTCTTGTACATTCCTGGGACAAATACTTTCGGATACGCTCAATATTGTATAAATAGAAAAACCTAGATTTGCAGGTTTTGTGGATGTGTTCCTGGAGATTCAAGTTAGAATCAAACCGTGTCCCTGAATTTCTTCCCACAGTGGCAGGAGCAATGTCAATGGCTATCAATATTTACTTGGGAAAGTTGCTGTTTTGTACCAATCAACATGAATTCGGTTTTGTCATTATTAAGTTTGATCTTATCCGTAAGCATCCACGTACGAATGTCCGATATACGGCGTTTCATGGCAACGACCATCCTGATTAGTGGCCGAGTCAGGACTAAACGGCAGGTAAAGCTGAGTGTCATCAGTATAGGCATATGCTGCAGGTAGATGGTATTTAATGACTTCAAAGAGTTTGCTGGAATAAACGGTAAACAGCAATGTCCCCAGACCCAATCCTTGTGGAACGTCATGAGGAAGCTTAAAACTGTCAGATGTAAAGCCATTTAGCGAGACTCCTTGCGACCTGTTGTTAAGGTAAGACGTTAACCAATTCAGAGTAGGATGTTGTGGTCAACAGTGTCAATTGTTGCGCTCAAATCTAGGAGAACTAGAAGGGTTACATGCTTGCAATTCATATTCGTGAGAATATCATTCTGTACCTACAGGAGCGCTGTTTCTGTGCTGTGACCCTCTCGGTAAGCGGATTGTGAAGTTGGATAAAAGGCGAATCGACTCATATGACTGAATTTGGTCGAAAACAGCACGCTTTGTCAGTTTTGATTTAAAGTGCAAGTTACTGACAGGGCGGAGCTTATTCAACTGCGTCGGGTCTAGGCCAGGTTTCTTAAAAATCGGAGTAACCAGAGCTGCTTTCCATTCCTCAGAGAAATGGCCGTATGATAGCCAAAGATGTATAATTCATGAAACAACAGTCAACAGCACGTTCAGGCAGCCAGCAACCACAGAAGTCGACATCGGCTCTAACGGGCAGGACGTCACAGCAGACTTACGGATGAGTGCAGAGACGTCGTTTTTCGAGACAGGTCGAAGGGAATGAAAAGCATGCGCAACATCTACTTCCTGATCAGGAGGTAGCGCATTCCGCGTGCTTGGATCGATGTCTACCGCATCACTATAAGATTGACTTCTATCTATCTTTCGAACGAAAAAACTGCCGATGTAATTTGTTAGTTTTGATTTGTCCTGATAATCGGGAAACGAAAACTCCTCTTTCCTAGCAAGGAGTTGTTCGGTACCTCTGAATAACGTTTTATGTCTGTGCTATTCTCATCAATAAAGTTAGTGTAAAATGCCAGCCTGGCCTGGTTCATGAGGTAAGTCACTGGGTTTCTGTAAGACTTGAATATATTGAAGCCAGACAGAGATCTCGTTCTCCAGGTTCTCTCAGCCTTACGTCTCAAGCATTTAGCGGCCTTTATCTCGTCGTTGTACCAAGGTACGGCAGGTCTAACTTTAAGAGTCTTAGTCTTAAGAGGAGCGTGACAATCAATGAGTTTGGAAAGTGTAGTGTTGTAGCTGGGTACAGCATCTAGGTCACGTGGATCTTTTGAGTGAAGATGCACGTGCAAATTCGGTGGATCACTGCATAACGAGGAGTCAGGTAAGTCCCGCTTAAGAGATGTCAGAGCAAAAGATTTCAGCTTTCTGTAGACAACGTTCTTAGCAGTCACGCAAGGTCTTTCTGGCAGAAGTGTACAATAAACAAATGCGAGGTAAGAGATAAAGCGGTCAACAACAGAGACCTTATTTAAGATGTCATCACTGCAACGGGTGATAACGACATCAAGTGTGTGACCCTGAATTTGCGTAGGCCGACAGACTGTAAAAGATCTAAAAGTTTGAGTGAGTCATGATCGTGGGGGACATCGACGTGGATATTAAAGTCAACAGCAATCACAAAATGCTCTTTGGAGAGAAGTCTGGTTTCAAGGTAGGTAGAGAACTCCGTGGAGAAATCATTAGCTGAGACTCTGTGGTCACCTGAAAAAGGTGGACGATAAAGAAAAACAAGCCGAAGATTGAGCGAAGGTGATGAGATGGTCCTTTCGGAGTATTCAAAGGATTCTTTCTCGCCTGCATCAATCCTTCTGACAGATAGCAAATCACGGTATATCAAGCCCACTCCGCCACCACGACGACCAGTATGTGGGCGATCAGAAATTTTGTATCCGACCGAGAACAATTTAGCTCTAACAGCAGTGTCGTCAGTAGTTAGCCAAGTGTGAGTGATCGCAACAAGGTCAGCCTTGCAGTCGCTTACATAATCAAAATCGCCAGCGGTCTTATTTTTAACAGAACGAGCATTAAGCAAATACAGCGACAAGTGTTTGACTGCAACAATCGGAGTCAAGGCAGAATAACGACGAACGCTAATTAAATTGCTAATATTCCCTGACGAAGATGACAGTTGAGTTTCACGGTTATGATTACTGCGTGTTGACACAATCACCGGTATTCTATTGGGTCCAGGATTCAATGGAAATAAAAAATCACCAATTAGTAATGTATAAAAGGATACCGATGTGTTCGAAAAATATGCACAAGGACATCTGTAACGCCTGATCCTAGGCCGTCTGAAGAATATAGCATAATTAGCCTAAATATACACCAGACAAGCATTGCTATAATGAGAAGGTGCGATGATTAAAGATTTTGGCTGACTTCAAGATTTTAGCATACAAAAATCCTCAATTCAAGATTTTCGCTGAATTCAAGATTTTGGCAGTGCTCAACATTTTAGCTTCCCAAAATCCTCAATTGAAGATTTTCTCTGACTTAAAGATTTTGGCTTCCAAAATCCTGACTTTAAGATTTTGTCTGACATCGTCATTTTGGCTTTCCAAAATCTTGAATTTAAGATTTTGGCTGACTTCAAGATTGTGGCTGATTTCAAAATTTTGGCTTTCCAAAATCCTGATTACAAGATTTTGCATGACTTCAAGATTTTAGCGTTTCAAACGGCTGAATTGAAGATTTTGGCTGACTTCAAGATTTAAGCGTTCCAAAATCCTGATTTGAAGATTTCGGCTGACTTCAAGATCTTAGCGTTTCAAACAGACGAATTGAAGATTTTGGCTGACTTCAATATTTTAGCGTTCCGCAATCATGAATTGAAGATTTTGCTTGATTTCAAGATTTTAGCTTTTCAAAATCCTGAATTCAACATTTTGGCTCACTTTAAGATTTAAGCGTTCCAAAATTTTGAATTCAAGATTTTGCTGACCTCAAGAGTTTAGCGTTCCAAAATCTGGAACTAAAGATTTTGGCTGACTTCAAGATTTTCGCTTTCCAAACTTCTTAATTCAAGATTATGGCTTTCCAAAAAAGGGAATTTAAGATTTTTGGTAGTTTTAAGAGTTTGGCTTTCCAAAATCTTAAATTCAAGCCTTTGGCTAACTTCAAGATTTTGGCTTTCCGAAATCCTGAATTTAAGATTTTGGGTGACCTCAAGATTTTAGCGTTCCAAAATCTTGAAGTTAAGATTTTGGCTGACTTTCAGATTTTAGCGTTCTAAAATCCTGAATTAAGCATCTTGGCTGACGTCTTTATTTTAGATTTCCAAATTCCTCAATAGAAGATTTTCCATGACTTCAAGATTTTAGCGCTCCAGAAACGTGAATTGAAGATTGGCTTTCGAAAATCATGAATTCAAGATTTTGGCTTACTTTAAGATTTTGGCTTCCAACAATCCTGAATTTAACATTTTGGCTTACTTTAAGATTTTGGCTTTCAAAAATTCTGAATTCACGATTTTGGCTGACTTCTAGATTTCAACGCTCCAAAATCCTGAATTTAAGATTTTCCCCGACCTCAAGATTTTGGCTTTCAACAAGGGTGAATTGAAGATTTTTGCTGACTTGAAGATTTTAGCTTTCTAAAATCCTGAAATATAGATTCTGGCTCATTCAAAATTTTAGCCTTCCAAAATCCTGAATTCAAGATTTTGGCTTTCCAAAATCGTGAATTCAAAATTTTACCTGACTTGAAGATTTTAGGGTTTTAAAATCCTGAATTCAAGATTTTCTCTGACTTCAAGATTTTCGCTGACTTCGAGCTTTTGATTTTCTAAAATCGTTAATTTAAGATTGTGGCTAACTTCAGCATTTTGGCTTTCCAAAAATTTGAATTCAAGATTTTGGCTAAGATCAAAATTTTGGCTTTTCAAAACCCTGAATTCAAGATTTCTGCTGAGTTAAATATTTTAGCATTCCAAAATCCTCAATTCAAAATTTTGGCCTTCTAAAGTCTTGATTTGAAGATTTTGGCTGATTTCAAGATTTCAGCGTTACAAAATCCTGAAATCAAGATATTGGCTGACCTCATAATTTTGGCTTTCCAAAATCCTGAACTCAAGACTCTGGCTGTCTTCAAGATTATAGCCTTCTAGAATATTTAATTGAAGATTTTTGCTGCCTTCGAGATTTTGGCGTTCCAAAATCATGAATTCAAGATTTTCGCTGACTTCAAGGTTTTGGATTTCCAAAATCATGAATTTAAGATGTTTACTGAATTCAAGATTTTGGATGACCTTAAGAATTTAGGTTTCAAAATTGGTCAATTTTAGATTTTGCCTCACTTAAGAGCCCATGACTGTAGATATCGAGAATCTCTGGCCAGGCCAAAAAAATCGAAAATTCTGATAATTTGTTAGAAAAACCCCTTTGGGGAACTATCTTTGAAAAATCTATAGTTTTCGAGAAAATGAGGAAAAACGAAAATAGTGGTTTTTACCCAATTAATTATGCAAAAATGAGAGTAAAAATGACCTACTTTATCGCGTCTGCACCGAGGCAAGATTCAAAGCTATAAAACAGAAATATTTTTGTTTAAAAGAATTTTATCTTTTCTTTCTATCCATGGTAATTTTTAAACCATAAACTTAATTTTGAATTTTTTATGGCTTTTTAAAAACTACCATCAATGGCACTTTTTAAAATGGATAAAAACAGAGCAACTTTAGAGGCAAAAAACTCACCTCGCTATGTGGGATACCTAGCCAAAATGTATGCTAGGACAAAGTTCAGCTCTGATATTAAGAGAATATGAAATAAAAAATCTGGGTACCCAGGATTCGCCTTTACAAAATAAAAAGTTTCGTGACCACCAGTGGAAAAATGTCACAAATTTGCATGTCAGTTTAAAAACCTCTTTACAACGTCGGCGGCCAAAACAAAGTTAATTTCCAGTAATACATTACAAGCCTTTGTAGTGCTTCATTCTTTTACAGAAAACTATTGCAAATACAATTTTATAGGCTCATTAAAACCGTTCACAAAAAAAATAAAAAATAAAAAACGACCTCGAAGAAGCGTTATATGAAAGCACCGAATTATTATGTAAACTATATCCCATGTCTCTCGTTTCTTTTCCTAACTTCCTTGTATTAGCATCCATTTGTATCATCGTAAATTCGCCTCCGGTATATCTAAAATAGGTAGGGACATTTTCCTTGAAATTTTCTTTTGAAGGAGGTTTTTTTCGAACGGGAGACACTGCGGGAGAGGAAGTCATAAAATAACAGTTAGAGTAACAATGTAACGCAACGGCGCCTCGAGCAGCTCCACCTTCTTTTACTTTTTCCTTTTACTTTTCGGGTTCGGGTGATGTTCGTTATTAGTAGAAGGGATAAGATGAGTTTATATAGGTGTATGAAGGTGTAGTGTCAGACATGTGGGATGTCCCATGATCAATTGGGTAATACGCATGCGCAGTAGGCAAACTTGTGTAAAAATGTTTTGAAACGTTCTCTAGGGAACATAGATCGATTGGGGAGTGAAAACCGAGCGTGCAGAACGCATGCGCAGTAACAAAAAGACGGTAGTTACAAAAAAATGGTCTTTATTTTATAACGCACTCAATCGATGATGAATCATATCGATTTAGGGGGATCCAAGATGGTGGACGAACACTGCTAAGGTGGATGCGTTTTTCTATCCGAAAACAGAAGCCCAGAAACAGGAGCAAGCGAGTCTTCTTAAAGAAACCCTACAAAGAGCATAATAGTCAATTACAGTTTGAAACTAAGCGAAAAAAGTCTGTGGTTTCTCTGTTCAGTTGATTAAATATTTCTTTGTTCAAAGCATACAGGTCGTAATTTAGTTCATCAAAGGTAAAGTTCGTGTTGGTCAAGGCCTCAATCAGCAAAGCACGCATAAATTCTTTGTAGGAAGAAAATTGGCCAGGATCCATGTTTCGTAACAACACTTCCAATTTAGTGGATCGTGTCGTAGCCATGTTGATCCTGCGGTTCTTTTACCACTGTCTTGAGTCTAGTGACTTCCCTCTGCGTGTTCTCCAATAACTCTTTGAGACGTTTGATGTTGTCTAAAAGTTCAGCGCAATAGAGAAGTGATTTGCCAGCCACACTGATCCACTCGACCTCACTCATTCTGATTAGACATGATCCTTGTCTTCAGCTTAAATAGACAGGTCATGGTCCACTGACTCTTCAATCCTAATGTATTTTCTTTGGGGCTCTTCCAGTTTCTTTTTAAAAAACAGGGTCACAATAACGGGACTATCTTGATTAAAGTCCGGTATACTTTTATTCCATTCTGTCAAGGTTACTTCCAAAATGACAACCAAATGACTTCGCAGAGAATAAAATTGAAGTGGGTTACATTCAATCAATGTTTTTTCGTTATTATAAGCGACAGCCTTCATGATAGTGTTGTTGCCATATACACTTTTGGTTAAATTACAATACAGAATCAGAGGACGTGTGTTGACTTGTCCATGATTTTTGGGGGGATGGCAGCCTTCTTGTCTCCTGTACTGGTGGTAATGGTCTCTGTCCTTTGTGGGTGGTGTGTATCACTGGGTGATCATCGTACACATCAGGGACTTGTTCCACATGACCTTCCACCCCATGCAGAACTAAAAAAGTGTTGTCCTTTCAATTAATCCGGGTATTTAGCAAGCAGTAGATACCCAATTTCAAATTTAACATTGAGGGTGGCATTGCCTCTGACAGATTTCGTAAATTGAATCTTCAGTGTATGATAATAAATCAAATGCGTTTTGTTCTGCTCATGAGTATGTTTTTGAACCGTCAAATAACTGACTGATCCAAACCCGTTCCTTCAGCCGAAAAGTTGGAACGATTAAAAAACCATTCATCTTTTTGATACAATTCTAAAGCCACAGTGTAGGTGTTGTTTTGGGTTAAGGAGCTCATATCCATCTCCAGTTCTCCATTGTATTCGCCGTTCGACACCCCATCCACAATCTTGACCCCTTCTAACAATGACGCACTGAGAGTCGTGGGTTTCCAATAATGGGGAGACACAGGGAGGTCCACAAAGGAGTCATCCAAGTCCAGTCCAGAGGCTGTTTTCCATAACTTGACATTGGTCATCCAAGGGTTTGAAGACATTGTTTTCTGTTTTAGGGGTTTCATAGGGTTGATGAATTGCTTTGTCAAAAGCCTCATTTAAATTCACAAACTGCCAAAGAAAGGTAGAGAAAAGATAGACCAATCCATCTGCCGCATGAATGGGTTTAGTGAACGTAAATTTACTATTCTTACTGGTCGCCGGATCAGGTTTGGTGGAGGTTTAATTATTTTGAAGTTCCATGATTAAATTGGAGCCTACATCATACACATTACCGGCTGTTTCTTTGATCCAACCAATCCGTTGAGCTAGTAGAAGATTGATGGCGAAATAGGGGACACTTTTTTGGTTCGTGGTGTCTATTTTCGTAAAACGTAGTAACTATGTTGTGTAATTGTCTTCAGCGGTAATCGTCATTCACCAGACGTCATTAGGGCTTGTATAAGCATAGCCCGTGGGTAATTGTTGGTTTTAATCTTGCTCCATCCAGCGAAAGACTACATATAAATTCAAAACCACTCGATGCATCTTGCAAATCCGATTTTCTGAGTTTGGACAAAATCTCTTGCGATTAATTGATGCCGAACGCTTTGGCATATTGGTGAAATAAAACGTCGGTAAAGCTGCCTTTGTAGAGATGAAGTAAAGATGGGTAAGAAAAAGGTTTGGTGGTGCGTTGTTCTGCTTCATGACGCACGGTTGTATGAGAAATAACGACATGAGGAATAGGGTTGGGAGTCCCAGGTAAAAACAAACTCGCTAACCCTACTTTCCATTTGCCTGGTAACCATAACGTCTGAGGGAGACGGTAATGAAAATGGGAAGGTGAATTGTCAGGAAATTCCTGCGTTTTACTCCTATTAAGGGTAACATAAAACGAGGATTCGCTTGGCTGAGACATTGTGTTGAATAAAATAGCGTATGACGTAACCCACTCTTTTTATACCCTGCCTAGAAAGAACGTGATAGGACTGACATCATTGTCCAGACATGTCCAATTCCCTAAGAACTTGAGTTGGCTATAAACGAGCTCGTTGATGATCAGATCAGTCAGTATGTGCAAGTTGCAAGAACTGCCTGTGAAACCATTGAAGATTTCACAGTCTCTGATGTCAGAACCTGACAAAATGGAGAAATTAAAAAAAAGACTGACGGGTGAAGTCAAGAACAAGAAAGCGAAAAAGCAGAAAAAGACTCCCTCTACAGGAATCTAAGTGACTAAAACGCTAGAGGAAGCTCCAGTCAAACAGATCAACCCAGAGGAAGAACACGCTGGTTTCATGTACACCCCTTCCGAAATTGACACCATGGTGCAGATAGCCAACCAGTTTTCATTTCCCTATGAGAAGTTGAAAACTGAACCCACAAACCTTGCCAGGCCTGGTCCATCCTTAAAAGGACAGAGTGGTTCAGAGTGGCTCCCAACGTATGAAGAGATGATGTTTCAAGACACGCTTGAATGTGGACCTAGTTCCATGGAAACCCAGCCAGACTTGGACATTTCAGCAGACTTGGAGCAAGTGACTTTGCAAGAGTACCTGTTTGATGCAAGCAAACCACTGCACACCCACTTTGTCCTTTCTCAACAAGGATCCACATGCCCTAAGACGCCCCGAAATGGTTTAAATCTTACCTACGGGGGTGGGGTAGGTTTTTTGCCCTGCCATCAGCCCTTTTTTGTGCTCTGACATCAACGTTGTGTACTTTGGCAGTTTGGAAAACCAGCAGAACGTTTTAGACGCCTTATGCAATGAGATTCATACCAAAGTACTAAATCAGTGGGGAACCTTAGCCTGTCACTGTGGATTAGTCCCTATCCTGAAACTGAGTCAAACTCGCAGAAACCTGAACAAAGTGTTCCTAAGCTGTCCCAAGACCAGGGAGACGCGATGTGGTTATTTTCAGTGGGTTTATCAACCACGCAAACCCAACTATGTCTCTAAAACAGCCACCCGTTCTGCTTAAAAGAAACGCTTGAATGATGTGGTACAAGAAAGAATGCAGAAACGTCCTAAAGTGGAGGAAACCATTGGAGGATTTATGTTTCCTTAAGAAGTTTGCTTAAAGTGCTGTAAAATTGTTTTTTGAAAATTAAAACATGACTACGTGAGTTCATTAGACTTGTCTTGATTTGCCCAAGACCCCTAGGGATCTAGTATGACGTCATTACCTCAACATGTTCAACTCCCTGGGGACTTAATACTCTCTTATAAATGTCGTTGTATTTTTATTATCCATAGTATTCGCTACCATGGGTTCTGAAGGTTTCAACAGAGATCTTGAGATGGTCAACGCAGGTTGTTTTATTCCTGAGGACCCTTTAACCACCCAGTTTCTGTTTATCGAAGGAAACAATCCATGCCCTCGATTTTATGGCAAGATCAAGGATAAGAAGAAAGTCTATCATGCCTTAAAAGAAACTATTCATCAAGAAGTGCATGCCAAATGGGGACAGTTAAAATGTCATTGCTCGCTGATTCCTAAAATGCGACTCAGTAAAACCGCAAGGAACCCGAAGAAAGTCTTCTTAACCTGTGGAGCTTCCGCTACGGCAGATTCTCGCTGTAAGTACTTTCAGTGGATCCACACACCACTCTTTATTGACAGGAAACCCATTCAGCAGCTCACGTTTGCTACGAAACAGACCCAAACTGAGTGGTTACAACAAGCCGAGAAGAACGTGGAAAAGTGGAAAGACCAACAAGAATGGCTGAATCAGTTTGCTGAATCCACCCAAAAGCAAAACGAACAATGCGAAGCTTAGACAAAGCCAAGTAATCCGTGGAAGAACACCTTGCCAAGTACCTTTTTTTGGAGTCCAGAAATTGCCAAAGCCTACAAGAAAACCGAAGGGTGGAAAGAGGTTCAGAGTATTGCCAACCACGAGTTTCAAGCATGTGTGAATAGTCAGAAACATGACGAGTGGAAACCTCCCCCAGGAGCGGAAAAGTTTGAGAAGAACGAAGCAGCTATCGCTAAATCTGTCTATGGTCCTTGGCCTTTAGGCGACTTGCCTGAAAAAGTCTGCAGTTTAGACTCCTATTGCCGTAAAAGAAAACAGAAGGGTTGTCTTTTAACCGCAGCCCTGGAACGATTTTTTGCCCAATTAGTGAATGTGCATCATGAACCTGAACTGCCTAATTGTCATGAACAATTTCTAGAAGGACTCAAACAAGGAGCTACCATAAGATCTTTTCATTTTTAGTGGAAATTAAAACGTTTTACAAATCGCAAATTGGTTATATTTCTTGGTGTAGGGTTAGGGGTTAGGTCTATTTTTAGATGTTGACGTCATCGTATTCATGTATAAAGGGATGATTTGTTTTAAAGTCAGTCATACAACCATGGGTAATCTACAATATAGAAGCCATGTGTGGATCTGCCTGCAATTTTGTCAAGACTCTGTCATCCCTCAAAACATTTTTCCTCCTGTTCCTTTATTTACATGTATGATGAACCAACAAGCGTGTTGGGGTCGTTATGCGATTTACATGACCTGGTTGGACCAACAGTTTCCTTCCCAACGTTGTATCGTGTTTCGCTATTTAAAGACTCACTATCCCGTCTGGATGTATTCATTTCCATATTTAGTCGGGCAATATCTATTGTATCATGTCGCAAAAACAATCAACAGCCTATGTCGATCCCTCAGAATCAGGATCGTTAGGAGGCGTGAATGCGTTCGCCAAAGCCCACAAGATACCCCAAGCCCAAGCACAACAACAACTGGAACAGCTTCTGAGTTATACGCTGCATAAGCCTCGACGTCGACGTTTTCCTACCTTACCCACCAAGGTCTTTAGCATCAATCAACAATTTGTTATGGACTTGGTCGATTTTCAAAAATTAGCCAAATACAACAAGGGCTACAAATATTTACTCACCGTAATTGATGTGTTCTCCAAATACGCGTGGGTTGAACCGTTAAAGAGTAAAAGTGCCACCGCCTTAGTCGAAGCCTTAGAAAGACTATGGACAAGGTTAGCTCCTCGCCGGACGGATTCTGGCGGTGAATTTTATAACGCAAAAGTGAAAGCGTTGTTCAAGAAACAGGGTGTGAATCATTTTTCTACACATGGTGACCCACATGGCTCAGTGGTTGAACATTGGAATCGAACGTTGAAAACGAAAATGTTTCGCTATTTTACGGCGAAAAACATTTTGAACTATTTCAATGTGTTACCCGCTCTCGTCAAAACCTACAATCGTTCGTTTCATCGTAGTAGTCAAGAGAAACCGGTCAATGTCACTGCTAAAAACGAACATGAGATTTGGTATCGTTTGTATGGTACAAAAAAGGGTACGCAAGTGAAAAAACCCAAATGTCAAGTAGGAGATAAAGTAAGATTGAATAAAAAATTTCGTCCGTTTTAGAAAGGCTACTTGCCTGTGTGGACCGAAGAAGTGTTCTTAGTGCAACATATTTATACCACCCAACCTGTGGTCACGTATAAATCGACGGAATGGAACGGGACCCCTATAAAAGGCACATTTACGAAGAGGATGTTCAAAAAGTCTCGTTGCCGGATGATTTGTTATTTCGCATTGATCAAGTGTTAAAACGCAAAGGCAAACAAGTATTTGTGTCTTGGAAAGGGTGGCCAAAAAAGTGCAATAGTTGGGTGTGGAAAAAAGATTTGCAAGTGCTATGAAGGAATTTCGTATCACGTTGATCAGTGATCCCACGGATAAATACCCCCACAATAAAAACAACAATTTTAAAGTACGTTTACCCGTTCTACTGAATTTAGAAGGCAACCAATGGCAAGCCAGTTTGTGGAGTTTGTCTGTCGCGGATGTGGGTCAAAGTCCAGCCGTCATTAACACCAATAACGACGTCACGTTACTGAAATATCGCTACACCTTTACCTCACGTTATCAGGACACTTCGAATGATTGGTTGATTGGTTTTCAAGCCAAAGGCAAAACCGTGACCCTCAAAAAAAAGATGGGAACCTCGTATCCTGTCACCTCAGGCATTCAATTATGGCACAATATTGTGACTCATATGGAACAAACCATGATGGAAAATTTAAATGCTTCCTCGACGGCCTGGAAAGCCTCCAGAAATAATGCAGCCACCATCTCCTTGAAATCCACTTGGAAACCGACCTTTGAATGGAAAGAAGACACGCTTATTTTGAAAGGGGTGCCTCATGAAGATGTGTATGCCCGTGATGCCCAGTTAAATGTCCAACCTTTATCCTCTGTAGGTTTTCATGTGGATTTGGCCGAAAAGTTTGGACTCTTATTCAAAGACAAACCCAACCAATACCAATTAGGACCGAATTTAGACTATGTCTTCCCCAAGGTGAGCTATTCAGATCGCACCCCACCGACCAGAAGCAATCAACGGTATCAGTGGCTTGGAGACCATTTTGTCGGTATTACACCACGCGATGTATTAGGAGGGAACGCGTTATTCAAAGTCAAAATAGAGAATGGGCAATCCTATCTCTCTCTCATCCTGTTATGTGGATTGGCATTTTCAAAACCTCAATTCCGTGTAAGACATCAGCGATGTATTGGTCGTCACAACTCACCCTATCAGCGAGGGGGCACTATTTTCAGCCCTAGGAATCCATGGGCTGTGACCTCCTATCAGCCTTATGGAGTAGACCCCATGATACTTTGTTCCCTTAGACAAAGAGCAAAACGAAAAGGAGGGAAAGTGCATAAAGTTACCTATCCTTGGATGATAAAAGGCCGAAAACGTATAAAAAGCGACGCACACGAGTGTAAGCTATCAGTCTGTCAACATTTCATTGAATCTGTTTGACGTTCCTGGCATTGACTTTAGGTATGAAGCCAAACGGTGGATTCCTTTCAAACCTGCCAATACCGGAAGACGCCCTATTCTCTTTACGGTTCCCTCCAGCGATGATTATTATGATCTCAATGAAACCAAGCTGGAAGTGAAAGTACGTATGAACACAGCAGGCACCAATGGCCTTTCCGCCAATGAAACAGGTGCCTCGGATGGTAATAACACCAAATACGTGTATTGTGTCAACAATTTTGCTCATTCTCTCTTCAATCAAATGAATGTGTCCTTCAATGGGGTCTTGAAGACAGAAGAAAACAATGCGTATCACCAGAAAGCTTACCTAGAAACCCTGCAGAATTATAATCGCCAAGAAGGAGAAACGACCTTGGCTGCTCAAGGATGGGTCAATGAATTGAATATACGTGATTCACTGACCCCGACCAATGCTGCTGATGATGATACACCCAATCCTAATTACTGGAATGGAAAAACAGGGCTCAAACCGTTAACCAGTCGCTTGCTGGGAAAGACGCATCAAACCTCATATCGCTGTGTTCAGAACAGGCAAATGTCTTGTACCTGGAGTGCAAATTGATTTGGAATTGTATTTCAATGACAGCAACATGTTTCTCTTTGGTACGCCAGACACCACCACCTCTGTCAACAAAAAGATTCCTACCCTAGGAGAGAATGAATTGGTTGGTGCGCTGTGGATGAAAAAAGTGACCCTGAATGCCTCCGTGAATTCTAGACTGCAGAAAGAACAGTCATGTCCAATACTGCCGCACTGTTACGGACCGTTAAGAGCAGTTGACGGAGCGTACGTTCTGCACAAACCGTAACTATTACTCACGGTCCGTATGCTGAGCACATACGGAGCATGCATCTCATTATTACATGAGTTCACAATGCGTTACGGTTCGTTCGATCCGTACGGTCCGTAGACATACGGAGCGTGCATCTCATTATTACATCATGGCACAATGCGTTACGGTTTGTTTGATCCGTACGGTCCGTAGACATACGGAGCGTGCATCTTATTATTACATCAGGGCACAATGCGATAAGGTTCGTTCGATCCGTACGGTCCGTATGGCCAGAAAGGCGCACTCCAGCTCTAATATTCCTCGCTCTATAAGCCATAAACCAACACAAGTGCAAAAACCAAGAAAGGCACACTCCAAATGTAATATTCCTCGTTCTATAAACCATAAACCAACACAAGCGCAAAAACCAAGAAAAGAGCACTCCAAATGTAATATTCCTCGTTCTATAAACCATAAACCAACACAAGCGCAAAAACCAAGAAAGGCGCACTCCAAATGTAATATTCCTCGTTCTATAAACCAAAAACAAAAACAAGTGCAAAAACCAAGAAAGGCACACTCCAACTGTAACATTCCTCGTTCTATAAACTATAAACTAACACAAGCGCAAAAACCAAGAAAAGCGCACTCCAAATGTAATATTCCTCGTTCTAAAAACCATAAACCAACACAAGCGCAAAAAACCAAGAAAGGTGCGCTCCAAATGTAATATTCCTCGTTCTATAAACCATAAATCAACACAAGTGCAAAAACCAAGAAAGGCGCACTCCAAATGTAATATTCCTCGTTCTATAAACCAAAAACAAACACAAGTGCAAAAACCAAGAAAGGCACACTCCAACTGTAAGATTCCTCGTTCTATAAACTATAAACCAACACAAGCGCAAAAACCAAGAAAGGCACGTTCCAAATGTAATTTTCCTTCTTCTGTAAATCAAAACAACCCAAAAACCATGGTATGCATGCTCTAAGTTTTATGCTTGTGTCAATAAGTTTATAATTAACAATTATTCTTTGAAATCAAGGTGAATAGTGGCAAAATATTTACCGAGCCGCGAAAGCGGCGAGGTAAATATTCTTAAAGCCACTATTCACCGAGATTGAAAAGAATAATTGTTTTAGTATATACACACGAAGTGATCTCAACAAAATCAGAGAGGAAACCATTTAAAAGTACAATTTGATTGACAGATCAAATCACGCGTAAGGTTAAGAATAGATCTTTGCAGAATTTTCAAACATGGCAATTCACAAGTTTATCATTTCGCAAACAACAGCTTAATGGCTTAAATGGAAACGCTAAAAGTTTGAACTGTTTCCTTACCTGAGAAGAAAAGTAGAGCTTTGTTGTTTTCTGTTGACACGCCAAGTTTATAACCAAAAGGGTTTGTTGTGTCGTTCTTCGCGTGAAGTGCTGACAAAAATGGTGGCTCGGTTGCTCGAGGTAAGACGTCGTCTTCCTGTATCATTCTTTTTCCTGTTTACTTGAAACGTAGAATTTCTGCAAACGTTTCCTTTTAAATTTGTTTGTCATAAATGAACTTCGATTTTTGAGCCCAAATTTTCTTGTTAGAAAACGCTGAGTTCACGAAACGGCTTCTTATACGCGAATGCACGGGAGTTGTAAACAATCCATCGAGCACAAAACTCAGCTCCAGTAAATTGAAAAACGCCGTACAATATCGCGTATTGAATCCTTCCAAGACTGTACTTGCCTTAAAAAAGTCAGCCCTAGGATTTTGTCCACTTTTAAAAGATCGTTCTCTAAAAAAATGTGAAAAACACCGAGCTCACACATTATCCACTCGCTAGGAGGTGAATATTGTAGAATAGTCCGAGATAGCGAACCAATCAGATTGCTTAAATCACCAAGATCACTGAGTGTGTATATACTAATTAATATAAGCACGCACCGAATGTAAAGGCAAGATAAGCAAGCACCAAAAATGTAATATTCAAACGTAGTATTTCTTCATCTAACCGAGATAAGCATGCTCTATATAAATTTAATGTTCCTTCTCTATACGCCAAAAACAAAAGCAAGCGCACTTTAAATGCAAATGTTCTCCGCTTGCTTTTCTTACTACGTTTGTTGCACAAAACAAATGTAATATTCATTATAAAACTGCTCCTCGTTCCAATGTCACAAACGAGGGCACGCGCGCTTCAAATGTAACAATCGCCTCATTTTATAGAAGCTGTGAAATTTTTCACAATGAGCACGCAGTACTTTGTATAACCAAGATAAACATGTTCTATATCAATTGAAGTTTCCTCTTTCTATTCGCCAAAAACAAAAGCAAGCGTACTTATGTACCTTTTCTACAGTAAAACTGTAAGAACAATCGTCTGATGTTTATGAAATAGCAATGTTGATGCAAACATATTTTGACAACGAAGTGTAGTCGTCAAATACTACTTAAAAAGTACTCTCATTGGTTAGAGACTTTTATTGTTTTGGTGGCTCCTAAAAGAGCCCTTTTTTGTGTCCTGTAGAGCAGGGTTTTTTGTTCTTTTATGATTTTTCTTGGATTTTCAAGGTTTTTCTGCTGGATCTTGTTGGTGCTGGGATTACTGTTTCGGTCACTCCATTTAAATACAAAAGTTTGTTGTGGTCTAGGTCAAAGTAGAACCATGTTCCTCTCTTTGCCTCTGCATTATTTAAGACGAAGTCTAGCTGCCTTGCCCTCTTCTCCGCTTTCTTAGGGGCCCACGTCTGAGAAAGGAGGATCCATCTGCATATCAAGGGCGGGGAGCAACCATTGCCCAAGCAAAACAGAATAAGTTTAAAGGTTTCTCTGTCGCCGATGGGCTTTTTCCAGAACGCCAACCTCAAATCTCTCGGCCAGCTACTTAGAGGGAAGAGGGCGTCTCCATTGATGATGCCACAAAGTTCTCTTTTTTCTGCAATTACTTCTGCCTTTGACAGATATCTGATGGTCTCTCTATATTCGTTGACCCAAGACATCTTCCCACAGTAGCAGAGTTATGGTTTCTCAGTATTATTCAACAGTGGGAAAATGGTTTTTTGAAACCACGCGTTAATCTATATGTGCGATAGTAGCAACCAATCACCATAGACTGTTTACTAATTTTAAGCATTTGATTTTGTCACACCTTTCTGTTTCTTTATAATTTTTTCACATCTCATTGTTAAGATATCATCGGGGCATTTATTATTCACATTTTATTTTTTCTCACATCATCTCTTATCATTGTTACGCATCATTTTCTTGCGCACAATCTGGCTAGCAAAACGTCATTTTCAACGTGGAATCGGCGGATCAACAAAAACCCCTCATCTTCTTAAAGGCCTTACCATCATAACTTTCTTTCTTGTTTACAATCACTGACATCTCATATTACGCCAAACAATAAAGTTTGTTATAGAATAAATGAACAATGACCGTATATTAATCTCACAGGACATTACATTAATAGAAAATTGGAGGCCCATATCACTTGTCAATGCTGACGCTAAGATAATATCAAAAGTGATTGCCAACAGAATTAAAAGATGTACTTCCTTCTATAATCCACCATAACCAAACTGGTTACGTAAAAGAACGCTATATTGGTGAAACGGTTAGGTCGATCTTCGATATCATGGATTTAACAGAGAAGGAAAATATGCCTGGTCTGTTGATATTTATTGATTTTGAAAAAGCGTTTGATTCTTTAGAATGGAACTTCCTGTATAATTGTCTAGATGTCTTTAATTTTGGTCGAAATTTTAAGCGCTAGATCAACACTTTTTACGCAAATATTAAAAGTTGTGTGGTAAATAATGGGTTGCGTTCAGACTATTTTGAACTGACACGTGGCGTCAGGCAGAGCGACCCTCTCTCTCTTTCTTTTGGCCGTGGAAACCTTAGCGATCGCCATCAGAGCTAACGAAGAAATAAAAAGAATAGTAATAAATCAAGAAGAGACCAAACTTCTTCAATACGCTGATGACACTACTGCTGTACTCGCTTATTTAGAATCAGCTCAAAAACTCTTCCAACTGCTTGATAAGTTCAAGGAGCTTTCTGGCTTAAAGGTAAATAGTTCAAAGACAGAAGGAATGTGGATAGGATCACTGAAGAACAGCGAAAATAAACCTCTAGGAATCAAATGGCCCACAGAGCCAATGAAAGCCCTTGGTGTCCTTTTTACCTATGACCATAAGTTGTCTCACTCAAAGAATTTCTCAGAGAAAATCGTCGACATTAAAAAACTAATCAATATCTGGTCCTCAAGGGGGCTTTCTGTCTACGGAAAGGTTACTCTAATCAAATCACTTCTTATACCTAAGATCGTTTACACCTCCTCTTTGTTACCTACTCCGGAACACATTGTCAAGGATTTAAATCATATATTATATAAGTTTTTATGGAAAGGTAAAGATAAAGTAACAAGAGCGTCAACAATAAATAATTATGAAGAAGGAGGCATCAAAATGGTGGATATTGAAAGTTTGATAAAATGTCTCCGTCTTTCCTGGCTTAAACGAATATTTAGTGACAACTCAGGCGCGTGGAAAAACTACCCTGAATACATCTTGAAAGATTCTGGAGGTCTAATGCTTTTTAAATGCAATCATAATGTTAAGGATCTTCAAATTACCTCTACCTTTTATTTAGAACTACTTAAATGGTGGTCGGAACTCCGAGAAGATTATGCTCTTAATAACGATTGGCATTATGTAATTTGGAATAATCAAGACTTTAGAGTAGACGACAAGCCCTTTTTCTACAAGAAATATTACGACATTGGTATCTGGGAAATAGGAGACTTACATTTTGATCTCAGCAATACGGAATCCTACGAGCAGATCGCAAAAAATGTTAAGAAGACAAACTTCCTTGAATGGACTAGTATGAGACATTCAATACCAACCAACTTAAAAGTTCTTAATCGCTCGGATTCGAGTACCTTTAATGTAATACCTTCCTTTAAAATCAATGGCGGCGTTTTCGACATAGCAAAAAAGAAATCAAAAGATTATTATCCTTTTTTGTTCAAAAAGAAGGCTTGTCTCCCAAATTATGCATTATGATCTCAGAAAGGCATTTCTCTTGCCCCATCCTGTCACGTTTGAACCTTATGTCAAAGCCTTTCAATTTAAAATACGTAATTCTATACTTTTTACCAACTCAAAGTTGTTCAAGATTGGGTACAGGACAGACAACTCGTGCACTTTTTGCGAAAGGGAATCAGAAACTACTAGACATTTCTTTTGGGACTGCCCTTATTCGAATTCATTCTGGAAATGTACTGAATCATATTATTTTGTGTTGCGAAAACAACTAGTTCACCTAACATTAAAGGAAATTTGGATCGGCTGTTTATCTTCTGAATACCCCTTGCTTAATTATCTTATACTTATAGGGAAAATATATTTATGGAGTTGCAGAAGGAATGAACTACTCCCAACCATAAACAGTTTTATAGTTAGAATAAATGGTAAATATGAAATAGAAAAATATATTTGCACTAAGAATAAGAATTTACAAAAATTAATGGACAAATGGACTTTGTAATCTAGTTAGTTTTTCTTCTTTTACAAAAATGATTAGTTTCTTCTTTTTTGAATAGCACTTGTAAAATAACAGTAGGCATACCTTGTGTGGTGATTGTGGAATTGCACGTGTGCTTAGGTGTGTAGTCTGTTTGTGCATGTATGCTTTGTGATAATAATTGTAATTGTTGTACTTTGGAATAGCAAATGAAATAAAATAATAATAAAAAAATCTCACTGGACAAAGTATATGTGGTATCGACCAATAAAAAGTATTCATTTTACTGCAGCCTATCAAACAGCGGCACGGAACTTTCGCTTCAACCACGCTTCCATCTCAAACTTCAGAAGCATCACTGTTCCCTAGTCACGTTTACAGCGTCTTCAAATTACTTACCGACTATGGCAAATCGCTATCTTGATATAATACTACAAAAAAAAACGAGTGCTGAAAAGGGCAAAAAGTAAAGAAAGTGAGCACTGTAATGCAGTATTGTTACGATAGAATTTTAGCCAAGAGATTGTAAAATATTGCAGTTAGGACACTGAGTATACATAACAGCCAATGTAAAATTATTATAATATTTGCAATTAGACTATCTCGAGTTTACAGCATCATAGTACTGAATATCTATCTTCTAATTTACCTCCTAAGTTATAGGGACCCAATGATCGCCAACGTGAACCTCGCGCACTTTACGGACCGAAGAGATCTCTTTAAAGACCGTATACCCCTTTCGTCGGTCCGTACCGTCCTTACAGATCGAAAAATGGTAAATACCTACTCTTGCCATGAAAATATTCTAAGTCCCACTAATGAGATGCGATTTACGGAGCGTAAAACACTCTTTACAGAACGTATACACTTGTTGTCGATCCGTTCATCCGTACGGATCGACAAACCGTATATAACCACCCTTGCCATGAAAATATTCTACGTACCACTAATAAGATGCGATTTAAGGACCGTAAAACACACTTTACAGAACGTATATCCCTGTGGTCGATTCGTTCGATCCGTACGGATCGACACATGACTTATACGGACCGTTACGTTGCGGGTGTATTGGACAACCCTCAGAAAGAACGCACCCTGAGTAAAACCAAGAAAGTCCAGTATCCTGTAGTTCGCAGTGAAATTTGAACCTATTCTTTGATGGCATCAGCACCCGATGGTCACAAGACAATGTTTTCTTGAACAAGGTTCCCATTAAGGTCATTATTGGTTTAATGCATTCCACCAATTACAATGGCAGTCTGCAACATTACCCCTATGGCTATGAAAAGTTTGGAGTCACAAGAGTTCGACAGTCAATTGACGGCGAAGAGGACCCATACAGAGCTTTGGAACTCACGGGCAATTCTTCCGCAGAAGATTTAGTAGGGTATGACCGCTTCCTGAACGCTTCAGGGGCTTACAAACACCACAGAGTACCCATGCTGCTACCAGGGGATTAGGGACAAGGCAAAAATTGCATCTTGTACACGTTTAATAATGTAGCAGGAGATGCGGATGACCCTACTTACAGAAACCCCAGACTCACAGGCAATGTGCCCTATGAAATTGACTTCCGCGCAGCGGTGGGTCACAATATTACCGTGGTAATCTGGAGCGAGTATGAAAATATCTATGAAAAAGACCAGTGGGGTGGCATTCTTTATTCCATCAACAGTTAAGATGGAGTTCGTACCTCTGAGTGATACGGTCTTCAACTACTTAGCCAGAGAAGATCCAGAATTAAAACCTTATTTTCGTGGTGTGTTTCCAGCAGACAAGTTACCCACGGTGCTTAAGTGGAGACTTTTAAGTGATGTTTACATTGTCAACACCGATCCTGCCGGAGAACCCGGGGAACATTGGCTGGCGATTTGGACACGAAATCGAGTGTCTCAAGTGTTTGACACTTATGGTTTACCACTCTCTAATTACAAAAACCCCACCTTACAAGCTTGGTTTAAACAATGGAAAGAAGTGATTACCAGCGATCAAACCTTGCAAGCCATGGATAGTTATACCTGCGGGCATTATGCTCTTTTGTTTTTAAAAGCCAAAGCCAGGAATGTCTCTTTTCAAGATTTTTTAGCACAATGGCATTCGCACAGTTTAGTGTTGAATGATAGACGAGTCGGTAAAAAGATTCAACGTTTAATTAAAACAGCGCTCACTAGGAGCGACTTGAGTTGTCAACAATCCAATGTAAGCCACAGCACCTTTTGCTATTTTTATCAATAAAAATGTGTCACTGGTCACTGTGTGGTTTATTTCAATCATGTTAACTCGGGTTGATGTTCAAAACGTACTGAAAGCTTTAGCGGAGCAAGAATGGTGTTATTGGCAAGACAACTTCAATGAGTGGGTCATTCACTGTCTTGATCATGTGGGATGGGTATCATTGGCATTTTGTGCGATGTTTAACGCAAGCGAGCAGGTGGGAGGACCTAAAGAACATATAGACACCATGGGGGAAACATATTTAAGGGAACAGATGCAAACGCTTATTCAGTCTGTGTCTCCGCGTTTGTATCTAACACTATAGGGCGAACACGTCGTAGAGTGTAGCGAAATGGTCAAAAAGGGATGCAAGATTTCGACGAAAAACGCGTCTTGTGGATAAAATAGCCGAAGGGGTGGCTACGGGACTATCAGGTCCTTCCCCTAGTTTAGCAAAGATGGGAGCGTTTTTAGCCAAACAGGCTTTACAAGGTATAAAAGATAATGTGCAACAATACAGACAGCGAAAATGATTCGACAACCTGCTAGCGTGATCACTGCCGGCCCTTCAGGCAGCGGCAAGAGTGAACTGGTAGAGCAACTCCTAAAAGAAAAAACCTTGTTTCATCCGCCATCGAAAAAAGTCGTGTATTGTTACGACCGATGGCAACCACGATTTGATCGCATGAAAAAGCAATCCAAGGTTCTTTTTTACAAAGGGCTCTCCTCCTCAAGGATTCTGGGATTCTCATTTTGGATGATTTAATGGCAGAGTCAGGCGATGATAAACGTGTCTTAGATTTATTTACCAAAGATTCGCATCACGGCGGGATTACCGCCCTGTATCTCACGCAAGATCTCTTTCCACCTGGCAAATTTGCTAAAACCATTAACCACAACGCTCACTATGTGATTTGTTTTAAATCGCCGAGGAAAAAGACAAGCATATGTCATTTACTGTTGCAAGTGTACCCTGAAAAATGGCGTCGAGTGCTTCGATTATTTTTAAAACTCACAACTCGTCCCTTTGGCTATTTTAAGTTAGATTTACACCCGGCCTCCGATGACCGTTTTCGGATTTGGAGCCACTTAACCAAACGTGAGGGCAGACCTCTGCTGCATACGTTTGACGAGGATATAAAAAGTCAGTCTATTTGTACATCCCGTAGTTCAAAATGAAAAAAGCACGACACGGTACCACCAGAAAGCGAAAACCCGGTGTGGGAAGACAACGCGGAGGCATTGCACCCTTCTTAGCCGCAGCCATTCCTGCTTTAGTGGCAGGAGGAAAAGCCGCCGCTAGGGTGGATTAGGTGCGGCCGCCAATTATGGAACAATGAAAGCCTTAAAATCCTTAAAGAAAAAGAAGTATAAAAGGCGACGTCGTACCAAAAAGAGACAGACCTAAAGATGGCAAACCGTATGACAAGGCAAAGCCCCTTTTTAAACGATGACTTAAAGGAAGCAAACCAACACAAACGGCAACAAAAATTGCGCTATGCCAATGCCGATCAAATTAATGCTGTGAGTGAACTGGTTATGAATACCTTGCGTGGGGCAATACGTCCAGGCCGAAAAACAGTGCATGCCCTCAAACCTTCGTCTCATTGCGAATCCTCGTCAGAGTATAAAAAGGCGCAGACAATTGATGAGTCAACAGATAGGAGCAGGTGCTTGGAAAGAATTAAACCGTTGTTATCGCTGCGCTAAAACTCAATACCGCTACTAGACATGAAGCGTCTGTTGCTACAACGATTGCTGTGTCTGTTAAACCACTTTCTTCTCTTGGCTGAAACAATCAAAGAGTTTAGGCAGAAAATAAAAGAGAGGTGTCGCCCCAAAAACCTATAAGTACCCCTGTTAGCAACCGAGAGGTCACATTAGAAGGATGGACGGGATATCCAGTACACCGGTCGAAAACTCTGTGCAATTTTTAAAGTTACGTGATCGATATAAATCAGATCTCTTAGAGGATAATCGTTTGACCAAAGCAGCCGGGTTAGCCGCTCAACAAGAACTGTTGCTGGAAAGTTCAGCCCCTGACACTTGGAAAGAACCACGTTTAAAATCGGTGAACCGACAATTACGACAATGGACGAAAAAAATTCTTCAGCCTAGAGGGACACGTGCTATAGGGCGTGATGAGGACGACACAGATGACGATTATGAACATAATTTAGCCGTAGGCCCTTTCCAACAATTCAGGGGAAATCTCGCGACAATTCAAAAAGGTATAAAAAGGAAAGCAGTGGCTGCTACTCCGAAAACACCCATTCCACTGGCTCTAAAACAGTCTCCCCACACTCCGCCCAGCGGAAAAACCCAAGTTTTCCTTTAAAACTGGGTCCAAAGGAAAGCGTTTATTACCCGAGACTCCCAAAAGCGAAACACCCAGAAGGAAACCGTCATCTGGTTCGCCTACTTACAAGACAGCTGAAAAGTCTTCAGAAGAATTAGCTTCAGAATTACCTCTTTCGGATCAGGTAGGCGAATCTCCTTGGAAAAGTCCGAGTGAATTAGCCAGAGACAGTCTCAGAGCCATAAGAAGACGTACACGCAAATCCCAGAGTGAAAAACGAAAACAAGACGGTTTAGCAAAATCTGCGTTAAAACAAACCACAGCAAGAGCGTAAAAAAAGTTAACACCAGCCCCTCGTTGGAAACCCTTTGGCACACCCACAAAACGTAAACTTGATGGCAAAGAGTGGTAAGAGGAGACGTACGAAAACTCGCAGTAAGCAACGACGGAGGGGGGGAAAGTTCGATATTCAAAAAGCCATTGAAAAAACTGGCATAGAGTTTTACATTCCTTCTTACAGATATGCTGGTCCTGGCACACATTTACAGAAAAGATTAAAACGCGGTGATAAAGACATCAACCGCTTAGACGAAATTGCCAAAAAACATGACTGCGTATAGCAAGGCCAAAAATTTGCAAGATAAGTGGAAAGCCGATGACAAGATGATCCAAACCATTACCAAGTTACCCGGCAAGAAAACCATGACAGAACACATGGTGAAGAAAATTATGCAAGCCAAGAGAAAACTCAAATTGTAATGCCTTTTTTATAGAATAAAAGATGTTTTTCTTAAACTTACAGTGTCTTAATTTTTAGTAAAATGTAACTGAAGCACACATTGACTAACCGATTGAAATTGAACTAGATTGCCATCCAATTCTTTGAGAGTGATTTCCACTTCAGCCCAATGATTGTCTTTTACCTCTTGAAAGGTTTCTTGAACGGGAGTAAACGCATAGCGCTGTCTTCCTTTAGGGCATGGTACACTTGACCCAGTGATTGCGTGACGGTCACGCTGTCGGCGGTTACTTTGGCTGTGACTTCCAGGGGTCTGGGGTAGAGGTTTAAGGCTTGTTCAAAACTTTGATTGAGGTTAATAAAATGCCAATCGGAGAGAGTACTTAAATGAAGCCAATTGCCAAGAATTTTGTTGGGTTTTCCCGTTTCCAAGGAACTGGCTTCTTTAGTATGATTGGGGTAGCTATGTTCCAAATTCGGTCTCATGCTATCGGCTTGATTGGTCTGTGATTTTACCCAATGAAATGTTTTCGCGAACGGTTTGTAGATATAAATTAAATTATCCGTATGACTATGAGTTAAGACGAGTTCCGGTTACACTCCATCTTTGTTCCACGCTAAGGTATGCTAACGGGTTGAACTGAACCAAAACCCATCATCCAAAGTAGCGTGCGCTGTTTCTTCTATTCTATGTTTCACCGTATTAAAAAAATCCACCCCTTCATGACAGGCGCCTGCTTTCTCCCATTCACGTAAATCGTCTGCATTGGCATAACCATTTTGCCAAACATCGGATTGGCCTGCTTTTTCAGTCTCAGACCATTATTCCATTAAATTCACATTGGCACTCTGTAAGTTTTTAAATTAAGCCATTTTAGGGAGAATCGCCGAGGCAATCGACACTTTCCATCCTTGTCCCGGTAACATTAACTGAGGTTTGACTTTAAATTGATTGACCACATTACCAGCATAGCTTTTGGTCACGTCGCTCACGAGGGTTAAGTAAATATTCGACATAATGTCGATAAAGAATAAGCGTTACCCCTTAGGACGCCCTCTATTTATAGTCATAGACCACACAAGACTTTGAGTCACAACTTAGTTTATTCTGTCATTTCACCTCCCTGTCAATGAAACGTTACAATACCTAATTTGTTCAGAAAGCATGCAAAAAGTTCTTTGATGGGCGCCACCATGCAACCTGATCCTAACCTAGTTTTAGAGGAAAAAACACTACAAAGAAAGAAAGAGATCCGCTTCGTTTCTAAACCAGTTGTAACCGTACGGTGTGGAGACGCGGGTGGCTCGATCAATGAACCGTTTGTCAAAGACCAGTCCGTACTTTTTGTCTCTCTCAATCAGGCGAATTTTCTTGGTCGTTTGGTTACGATCAAAGAAATCGGGTGTTACAATGTCAATGTTTGTGCGCTGATCTTGTGGGTCATCCAATTCTTTCAGAATGTTCTCTTTCATGGTCTTGTAATTCAGTTTCTGCAACGCAGCATAACTTTACATTCGGTTTTGCCACTGCGTGTAAGGTAGCCGTAATTTTTCGCGCCTCCACTGACAAATTCCACAATGGGGTCCCCACCAAATTCGTCTTTAAATTCACCTAAAAATCGTCCCAGAGGTAACTTGACTTGTCAAGGTTGGCACCGGTAGATCACACTTTCGGTATCGTAATAGAGCACCCGTTCTTTCAACGCATCCATAGCATCGTACAGCTTTAATCGTGCATGGGAGGTCGTGAAGGCTGCGATAAACACATTGGTCTTAAAGCTGCGTTCGTATTCTTCTTTAGCCATCGTAGTGACGAGCTCCATCACGTCTTCAGTCTATATACGTACGGCGGAAATCTCGTAGGCAGGATCGTCGAGAATGTTAAACAACTGGTGGGACGATGTAATCACATGGGTCTGCGGTTTGTTTCGGCGTTCGCCAAATTTTCCCCATAGGCTGCAAGAAAGAAAAACGGAAAAAACGATCAGTTTCACCCAAATTATACGTTTGTTATTGTTTTCTAAGAGGTCCGTGGATTATAAATTTTCCCTTTGTTGCGGTAAAACACTGTCACCTACATGTTTTTACATTGTTGTTTTGTGAGGACAGAGTTTAATGTATTTGAGACAATCTTATTTGGAGGAAAACAATGCAAGTTATTTTTCTTAATTGCAGATATTTTACGCAACATCCCCATACATTTCTTTGTAAATCTTAGTTGCTAGTGTGCATACCCTACAACACGATATCGTTTATTTCAGCTAAGTTTCGTTGCAGGAAAACACTGCAAGTTAATTTACTTAAATGCAGACTTTTTACGCATATAAATTTGTTATTGTTTTCTCCGAGGTCCGCAGATTATAATTTTTCCTTCCTTGCGGTAAAAAAATAGCAAGTTAATTGCAGACTTACCTGTTCAAAAGCATTTTGGCAATCGCTTTCCGCCCAGTAGTTTCTTCTACATTCTCCAGTTTGATCCCTTCACGCTGTTCATAGGCTTTCACGTACTCTTCTTTATGCTAAGGTGTCACACAGTCTGCTGTCCATCCCGCGCTTTCTTGTTTGAGTTTCAACCAGGTATTGACATAGTCTTTAAACACGCTGACACGTCTGTTTTCCGGGGTAAAATGCCACACTTCATGGATGTTGATGATGTGACACCCTGTCTCTACCGGATTCAAGGGTTGTCCACGTACCGCGCAGAGTTCTTTCTTTCGTGCTGTGACCACACATGTTGCTTCGCTCCAACCAAGGTTTTTCTTGCTCTTCTTTGACACAGCTAGCACAGAGCGGCAACGTCAGTTTACCCCCTTCTCGGACAGGCGGGACCGGGTGGAACAATCGTTCGGGCGCAATCACATCGACGAGCGCGAGTCAAAAGTAGCTGTGGATATCTTGATTGGAGGGATTCAGGTACACCACGGGAAAGCCAACAGGATACTCACAGTACTTATTTACCCACGGGTACAAACTTGTGAAATCTTTAAAGAGAATCCCCTCTCCTGGTTTAGCTTTCGCGTACAATGTAGTAGCCCCAGTTCGTCCTCCAAAGAACGCGTCTCTAGGTTCCAAGGGTGGTACGGCTTCGTACTGACTCAGGAAGGCTTTCAGGGCTGCATTCGTTTTCTTTTCTTCTTGGTACTCGCATTCCCACATTTCCACAAGCGTGTAACCTGCCGCTCGCAACATCTGCACTTTTCTCACAGTGGCTTCATAAACTTCTTCCTCGGTTCGATCCGGGTGAAAGTTTCTTGAGATATTTCGCTTGTCTGGAAAACACCGCTTACATCCGTGAAACCAAAATCCTTGAAACTCGTACACTGTCCAAGTTTCCTGATCATACCCATCCACACAAAACGTCTGCGCCGGGGTCAAGACCTCAACTTCACCGTTCAAAGAATTTCTTACATGCTGAATGCGTCTCATACCACCGACCTTGGAATCTTCAAATTCCAACCATTCAATAGCTTCCTGACTTTGATTCACTTGGTTTTTACGCCATCCGTTGCGGGGTTCCAAAGCAATCAGATCTGGTTTCGCCATACATGAGAGGCTGTACTGGCAATGGTGACGCAATTGGTTAATGGATTGACACCAGTCAGGTCTTCCACTTGCCTCACAAAGGCCAGACACGCTTCTTTCAACACTTGAACGTCACTTTTGGGGTACGCGCTCAGTTCTTTCTGATAGTCAAAGATGGCTCAGCTTTCCACTTTCTCTCTGTGCCAGGTTAAGAATGCCTTTCTTTTCTTCTCAGACATACGATCTGGATTAGGCGTCTGCTGGAGGGTACGGGCCACGATAGCTGCAATACTTTGGACGGATCCATGTGTATGGAAAGTACCCCTTGTGAAGCTCTCGGAGGTTGAAGGTCGCAGGTAGCTTTTCCAAAACCATGTTGAAGAAATTCAATGAGTCGCAGAACACCAGATTACCTTATTCAAACGGCAACATTTTTAGCCCCTTGACTTAAAACCTTTTCCAAACTACAACCCTGTTCATACAACGTACCTTGAATAAACATTCCATCAAACCCTCGCATATTATGCGCCACCACTACCACTTGCCGTTCTTGCCCGTCTACCACTGTTTTTTAATTAGCATCTTCGAGAAACTGTTCGACTGTGTCTGCTTCCAAAAACGTATCATCATCGTCATATGAATCGTCTATGAACCTCAAATACCTTCTCCTCATTCAAATTACACTCTAAATTCACAAAACACAGCAGAGGTTTCAGTTTGGAAGGGCGACTGCTTTGTTCTTCACTGTCTGAGTCTTCATAGGCTTTTGAGTCTTCTTCAATGACACGGAGATCTGCTTGGTTTTGTCCTTTGTCTTTTTTAATAGCGGAGCTCTTGCGAGTGCGAAGCGCGCGCGCAGCGGAGCACCATGGGTAAGAAAATTTGGTAAACTATCCAACCGAGAAATTTTTTGGTTATGACGTAGCGTACGGCCGCCCACCCGTACACACACTTCATGTAAGGCGATGTCAAATGTCACAATAGATCTTGCACAACTTGACTAGCCTTTCAGTATGTAAGCCATCCGTATTAGTACGTTTAGATTGCCAGCTGTCAAAATCGGACATCCGCTGACAATTATCACATGACCATCTCGCGGGCTCATATGAAAGACCAGTCGTTTTGCCTCTACATATAAGCTGATACAATATGCCACACTTACCAATTCAACATAAAAACGAAACTACGCCGGGCAAGGCTGTCAGTTGGCTGACAGTCGTTTAAAGTTATATTGGCAAGCCAAATTAAGTTCAATTCTGGCGACAGTTTTACCCTGTACACGTCTGGTGATAGTCTTTTGATTATTGCACCCGAGTCCAAGCGAGTCCAAGTGCTAGACCGTAAAAGGTGATGTACGGCCTGCCTATACAGAATGAGTGTGAGCATCACTGTTAATTCGAATATTCGCCATTCTAATAAAGGTTAATTAACAGCTGTCAAACTAGAGTATACGCTGACCATCATCACCTGAGTGTATCGCGGGCTCATTTATCTATCCATTGAGGTCACGTAGTGTTTAAAGTTTTGCGCTGATATTTTATTTGATCACCGGCTCAATTGGAAGCCCCATAGCTTAGAAAATCTATCCATCCTAGAGAATTCGGCAATCACGTGACCGTACACAGACTACCCGACCTTCCGTCCGTCCTCACCACAGGCATACCAATGTTTAATCCCACACTTTCTAGCTAGTTTAGGAGCCTGCAACCTGATATTGTACATCCATGTTTTGATTAATTGAAAGCTGTCAAAAATGTGTTTCTGCTAAACCAGTATCGCCTGACCGTATCGCGGGCTCAGGTATCGACCCACCGAGTTCGAGTGTTTTTTTGAAGGTCTCCGCTGACAAGTTGATACTTTTCAAATGATCGCAGGCTTAAGTTCAATTTTTTTAAAAAGCATATGAAATAAGTCGTGTTCATGAGCAGCACTTTTAAAATGTTGATTTCGAACTGACCTCGGACGCGAAAATTCAACCGGTTATTACATTTACATGCAGGGAAGGCAATCCCTTTTGACTTTTCTCACTGTCACGCATTGATCACGCTCTACGTCCAATTCTTATGTTCTTATTGGTCAAAATTTGACAGGTGAGTTCATGCGGAAAATTTATGCAGCGTCTGGAAACTTGCTTACTGATAGCTGGAGCTGACAGAGTTTTGTGTCATCTTATGATGCTTTAAACTGTCTTTTTCTACTTGGTGTACAAAATGAAATACAGCTGCTATCAAGATTGTTCTGTAATTCATGGCTGGTTTGTTTCTTGCGCTTTTTGTTGACAAATGCACCGCTTGTCAAAGTAATTGGAAATCCGATTTCGGATGGCATCGTTTTCATAAAAGAGCTTACTCAATTGCCCTTGCTTGAGGCGTAAGAGGGTTGAAAAGTCTCAAGCGATTCTGGAACACTTGATGACCTTCAGAAGCAGCATCTCGACTGGTAAGCCTGAGCAATTATTGTCTTTGATGTGTTTTTTTTCGGTTTCCTGAAGTCGAGCGTATGGTTTATGCGGCTTAAGTTTATACACGAGCAATGATCTAAGTAAGTAAGTAATAACTTTATTTAACCACGAAATCCTTATCTCTAAAAAGTGGTCTTCTAAAGAGCCGCAAATTCAGAAAAGGTTCCGAAGATTATTTAGTTACGATTTTGGCTGTAAACAGAAAGCTCTGAGCGATTTTCTTGTCTTGAGTTCACCTTGAAAAAGAGCAAACACCGGGAGCCGGCTTAAAACATAAATAAGCTTATGCTTGCCTGACTCGTGATTTTCAGAGACACTTTACTCCCAATACGTCTCTTCGTGAATGAAAATTATTGTCTCTGTACATGTTTCACCGAATTATATTTATTTTATTGATTGTTAGTAGTCCCTCTCGCAATTTTTATCGCTGCACCGGTTGTTTCCAGTCGAGCATAAACATCGCATGCAGGAATACTCAAAACGCCGCGCGTAAATTCCGCGCGTAAATATCACTCGCTTTTAAAGATTACACATAACAAAACCATACACGGTTTAATAAATAAAGGGAAATAAAACCTAAACATAACAATTTCTCTATCATGTTGAAACGTAAATGGTAACTCTATTAGTCGCACTGCAAATTTGGTGCCTGTCAAAAGTGAGAACCCGTCCGGCTGGCCGAAAAGTGATTTTGGGAATTCTTTTTATCGTTTTCATTAAAAGCCCGTAATTATTACCCTGCATATCACATAGGACCAGATTTTTCTAACTGAAAAGTCCCGGCATTATCTGAGAATTCTCTTCATGAAAACGTTTTATAATTCAATGCTATAATTTGTTGTGCAAAGGAAACGCGTGCTTTGATCGTCGTGGATATTGAATGAGTGCAAATTCTCTTGCAAAATTGTGAAAAACTGCAGAATTATAGGTTTAAATAGGGCAAAAAAAGAACAAATTCTGTCCGAGTTCTGTATGATAAAAAAAGGGCCTCAGAGTACTGTTTACCTGAGACGTGATGAGAAAAAGTATGTTTAAAAGGCTGGTTTACACGCTCCCAGATTCGTCGCCAAGATTTACTAGTAAACTAAACTTGTCGAACCTGTCCAATTATCCATAGTCTCTCTAACGGAGCAATTTAGGAGAGACTGGTGAATGCCACATTATGATGCAACAGCTAATGCAAATACAATCTACTGTGATCGAACATGATTCCTATTTTTGGGTGTACAAATGAGACTATTTAATAACTCGATGTAAAACTTGTTTCACTCTTGGACTGTCAAATTATTTTTCTCTAAAATCACCTAGCCTTTGCCTCAAAAGTCAAATGAATGTGCCCTAATCTGTGGATTACAAGTTTATTGTTTGATTTAAATTATGAATTTATTAACGGGAGCTTCGCTTTTAGCCCTGGCTAAATCTATATATTAGGCTGAATGTAACAGTCATGATTGACATCTGTGACTTCTCCGCAGTTGCGACACTTGGTAACATACATGTTTGTTCTTGCCTTTCACCTCATACACCTTAGAACATTCCAAACACTTTCTAAACCGTTCACATACACTTTTCTAACCACGCTGTTTTTGCAAGTGCGCCCTCAAAACATTCACGGCCATAAAACTTCACATGACACCTCTCACAACACACTTCCAGAGTCAACCACGTAGCAAAGTTAGGATAGGTCTTATTTCCTCGACGACAGGCGGAGCAGTTCTGCCCCATGCAGTTATGATGAGCACTGTCCTCGTTGCTGTATGCCTTCTCGCAGTGGCGACAAAAATAGCTTCTATTCAGGAGGGCTGGAATACTCGTCACGCCATGATAGTGGTTCTGTGTTTCAGCAGGGCAATCACGTTCGGCGCCCGATCATACTGTTTGTCTTTAAACAAAATCGTCCCTTTCAACCCTTCCAACACAATCAGCTGATACTCTAAACCCAGATACTCCTGAAACTGCTTCAACTCTTCCCGACCACAGACGCCTTGCGCTGCACCCTCTTCTCGATGTAATTTACTAGCTAAAAAACCTTGAAGGCCACGACCTTGCACTATATTACGATACTGCGGATCATTATCCACTCTGTGCTTAAGGGTGACTATTGCGCCAGCGCAACAAAGTTCGTCTTTGTTCTTGATCTAAATGATGCAGTTCTTTTTCTTCAGCAGAGCTTCACAGAACATCCGTCCAGGATTGTGTTTTTTACCTTTGCGACCAGCACCTCGCCCGGGATTTTTGACAAACGTCATCTGGGCATAAAATTCACCCCCGGTTGCATCTAAATCCCCTGTGGAATTCAACTGTTTGGCCACTTTCTCCAACCACTCTCTTGACCTCTGGTTACTTTCAAGCCAATCGGTTAATGTGATGATAGGACTTCGAGTCCACACATGAGTACAGCTGCTGTGATGGACAGCAAACTGCATGGAATAATTCGCCAGTGCATAACCACGTTCGCGTACCGCGTTACGAAACCTTGTCTGAACGCCTCGGTAATTGCTTCGCCTAACAAATCCTCCTCCGGTACTCTCAATTGACGAAGCCTTAACTGCAATCGATCCTGAACCACCGTCCCTTCACGCCACGATCGCGGAGCCCCAACCCTTTCCACATCCACACCAAACAAGGGGTTCCCACCTTGCTGTTCCACCCTACGAGCACCGATCAAACAAGCTTCTTCTTGACTACTAGTCATTAACTCATCGCCTTGACTAGCCGACCACTCCGTCATATCCTCTGAAATAAAGAGGAAAGACATTTTTCAGTTGTTTTTGTCTACATTTTTGTTTTAAAATGCAGACTTTTTACGCAATGTTCCCGTTTCACCCAAATTATAAGTTTGTTATTGTTTTCTCAGAGGTCCGCAGATTATGATTTTTTCTTAGGTGCGGTAAAACACGTTGACTTAACTTTTTAAAATACAGACTTTTTACGCAATGATTCTTCTAATTTTATGTTCAAAGGATGCAACACAATGTGCACAGTACTATTCATTTCAACTAAGCTTAGTTGCAGGAAAACACGGCATCTTAACTTTTTAAAATGCAGACTTCGACTGCAATTTTTCCATACATTTTCTTCTAACTTTCGGTTGACAGCCGAATTGACATCCTGAATTGTGATATGATCAATAAGAAGTTCAGTCAATGCTAATCTTAAACAATGCGAACACCAAAATTCATCATCATAGGTATTCACCCACTTTGAAAACGTGCAAAAATGCCTTTGGTCTAATTCAGCCAAACACGATTTAAAACACAAACAAAAAAAGTATAATTATCCCAGACCCAAACATGGCGGTCGACATAGTTGGTAAAGGCATTTCTATGACCGTGTCAAAACTCTAACGAGTCGTCAAACCAATGTATCTTAAATGCTAGAACTTTTCCGATTTCTTTATCACACCAAGACAGCGTCTACAATAAAAAATCATAGAATTCATGATCGCGAAACAAAAACGGCATATCTACTCTTAAATGTGAATACGTGCCTTCAAAACTTTTAAGTACTTCCTCGGTGTTTTCAATAAACGGTTGTTGCAATAAACACAAATCATCAATCGTTACATGAAGTAAAGCAATTCGTGTCCTACAAGTACAGTGCTCCGCAGAATACGCCCATTCTGTGAAGCCACAGATAGGTAAACTTCGAATATCACGGCAACATTTTCTATAATAGAAAAGAAACAGCTAATGATTCGAGTATACGTTTTTCTAAAAACAAAATTTTGCGCAACACACTTTTGTCTTTCTAATTCAAAATCTACATCTTGATTTCTATCTAACTTCGTTTGTCCTTCAATCGTGACACCTTCCACCGTGAGTCTCATGCAATGTGTACAGGTAGATTGTCGCTAAACGAAACCCGCAAAGCAGAGTGACACAACTTGGGAGTTTTTAGTGCTTGTAACGTTTTTCTGTGCAAGAAAAAACATTTTTTACTCTTAGAAATCTTAAAAGTTTAAACGACGGTGAGCACGCGAAGGATACAATACAATCATTTTGCGTTCTTCGGCGTTTTTGTCTACAAATTTTCCTTGTAATTTAAAGCGCCATCCGTCTAAGTTTAACGATTTCGTGTAACTCTTTTACATTGCAAACAGGTAGAATTGTCTCTTCTCACATACATCTATTTTGTTTTTCGGCAATACGTTAACTCTTTTAACTGTTTGAGCCCGTTTACAACATTTCTAAAACAAGAAAAAAATAACATTCAATAAGCGTGTCTAAAAACACGTTTTTCATTCTAACAACATAAGATACACTTTGGTCTTGACACTTAACCACTCTACATCTTTGATCCAAAACAGTGTATCCAATACTTGTCTAAAAACGTAACATCGCTTGGGTAACTGTTTTTGCCTGAATACCATGCTTGAATAAAACGAGATTCTTTGCAAACATACCTGAAGTTGACGCGATGTTCTTTGTGAAACTTGTTTCGTTGTTCTTCATTATCACGAGCTTCAAGCTGCTTCGCAAGCGGCTGCCATGGTACTAAAAAGGTTCGGGCCATCAGTCTAGGATTAGGAACGGCTTGTAAGGCAAGTTGTTGCAGAGTCTTCATCAGGAAATCGTTGTGCTGGAAAGTGGTTCTGCTTCTGCTGAAGGTTGTCGAAAAGAAAGAAGCACCTGTAAGGTCTTACCTTAAACACGGTCTGTTGCTGTGACGATTTGACGCGCAATAAGCGGTGATTGGTGTGGTTGGAGGTAGGATTAATCTAATTGCAAATTAGCGGCTTTTCGCTCCCTCATTGTCGGCTTCAAGTTAATTACTTTGCTGCCTTTTGACTTTGATGAAACATGAGCTCACGTTTCATGTTTTGGAAATTTCCGTTTTGAAAATGTTAAAAAAATTCTTATTTCCAACCATGGCTACCCCGTTTGAAACAGACGAAACGACCCTGACTCAAGAGCAACCTGACCATATTAACGAGAGACATGTTTACATTACCAAACATCCGCGAACGCCGAAATTTTGGTTGACATTTAATTTATCGTCAACTTTGGCAGATTTGTCGCAGCGAACCTGGGAAACCCATGAAGGTGTCTAACTTTTAGAAGAAAGAATGGAAAGAAGGCCATGGTCATTATTACTTGTACGTGTTTGCTGTCCACGAGACGATTTGGAGGGACCCTGAAGGTTTTCCCGCAAAACATATCGCTATTTATTACTCGGAAAAACATGAGGGTGATAAATGGGAAATTATGAGAACGTACCCTTTTACGCACTTGACCATACATTTTTTTAAGTAAGCGGAAACCGTGGTATTAGTTCTGAATTTAAGAACTCAAAACCAAACAACAAACGGCTGTTTTAGGAGCCAACACCTGAATAAAAGTCATGCCTAATACTCAGAAAGTCTCGGTAGTATAGTGGTTTAGTATCTCTGCTTGTCGAGCAGAAGACCCGGGTTCAATCCCCGGCGGAGGCGATTTCATCGCTGTGGTTTATGTTCCTATCGATCATAGACTTCAGCGATGCTTTTTTATTTTATTTTTTCCTTCCTCTTTGGAGGCGAACTTGTTTAGTGCAAAGCGTTGACATTAGTAGGGGCGTCACTTTATTTAAATTCTAAGCTCACCCGTTCAAATCCTTTCGTTTCTCTTTCAGGTTCTCTTTCATAAAAGACACGGTAGCGCTCTGCCTTCTTTTAACATTAAAATGACTCTATGGTCGAATGGATAAGGCGCCTGACTACGAATCAGGAGATTCCAGGTTTAAGTCCTGGTAGAGTCGACTCTTTTTCTGGTTTAACCCGAAGAAAAAAGTGGAACCACAGAGTTTCGATCTCTGAACCTCTCGCTTGCAAAGTGAGCGCTTTACCGATTGAGCTATTTCCCCGTTCATGTTATTTTCAATGTTTTTTCTTGAGGTCACTTGTGTGTAAATTTCCCATACATTTTACTATAGCAGACAGCAGAGGAAACCTCTTTCTAAGCTAAACGAACGTAGTGGTGACACCACTAGCCCCATTCACCTGAATTCAACTGCTAAACCTTTAAGATACACAGCCCTCACTATTCCCCTAGTTCTATCTACGACAAGACAGGTCACGATCGATACACGTACAGTAAAATACCGATCGAACGATCGATAGCGAGTTGACACATAGCAGCGTAAAAACTCATAAACTCATCTTACCCCTCCTACTTAGTAACTATGATGATGTCATCTCCCTAGCAACCTACGATGATATCATCCACCATTTTGAATGACCTCATTGGCCGCCATCTTAGATTCTTTGATTGACAGGCGGTGGCATCCTTTAAGTGCCAAAGGGGCAACTAATACTACTCCTGACTTCCAGATTTTGGCTGAGTTCAAGATTTTGGAGTGCCAAAATCCTGATTTCAAGATTTTGCCTGACATTAACATTTTATATTTCTGGAATCCTGAATTGAAGATTATGGCTGACTGGAAGATTAAAACGTTGCAAAATCATGAATTGAAGATTTGGGCTAACTTTAAGATTTCAGCGTTCCAAAATCCTGAATTCAAGATGTTGGCTTACCTTAAGATTTTAACTTTCAAAAATCCAGAATTCGGTATTTTGGCTGACTTCTTGATTTGAGCGTTCCAAAATCCTCAATTTACGATTTTGGCTGACTTTAATATTTTGACTTTACAAAATCCTGAACTCAAGATTTTGGCTGACTTCAAGATTTTAGCGTTTCAAAATCCTGACTTCAAGATTTTGGCTTTTCAAAAGCCTTAATTCAAGATTTGGGCTGACTTGAAGAACTTAGCGTTCCAAAATCCTAAATTCAAGATTTTAGCTTACTTTAAGATTTTGGCTTTTAAACATTCCGAATTCACGATTTTGGCGGACTTCTAGATTTGAGCGTTCCAAAATCCTGAATTTAAGAATTTGGCTGACTTTAAGATTTTGGCTTTCTAAAATCCTGAAATCAAGATTATGGCCGACTTCAAGATTTTAGCGTTCCAAAAGCCTGAATTCAATATTTTGGATGAATTGAAGTTTTTGGCTTTCAAAAATCCAAAATTCAAGATTTTGGCAGACTAAGATATAATAATAATAATAATAATAATAATAATAATAATATAATTCATTTATATAGCACTATTAATACCAATTATTCATAGCGCTTTACAATTTCATCCTATTATTCTAATTTCTACAATTATATATAATTAAAAAACAATTACTGATTACATCTTACACACTACAAAAAAAAATAGAAAACAAAAGAAAACACATAATAATATGCAAAATAATAAAGCAAATGCCCATCTAAAGATAGGCCATTTTAAAAAGCTTTGTATTCAGTCCTTATTTAAATGCTTGTATATTTTACGACATGCGCAAGTGAAAAGGCAGTTCATTCCATAGCTTAGGAGCACATACAGAAAATGCTCTATCGCCATAGGTAACAGCTCTGGATTTAGGAAGACTAAGCAGATGTTGAGACTGAGATTTAAGATTGCTGGTATATTTAGGCTTATTAAGTAGCTCAGATATGTATTCAAGATTTTTGCATTCCAAAATTATGAATTGAAGATTTTGGCTTACTTCAAGATTTTTGCGTTCCAAAATCGTGAATTCAAGATTTAAGCTAACTTCAAGATTTTAGCTTTCTAAAATCTTGAATTTTTGATGTTGCCTGACTTGAAGAGTTTAGTGTTCCAAATTCCTGAATTCAAGATTTTGCCTCCCTTCAAGATTTTAGCGGTCCAAAATCCTGAAGTCAAGAATCTAGCTTACTTCAA